TGTCTGCAGATGACATGACACTATCCATAGAAAATCCTAAAGATGCCGCCAAAGAACTACTAGAACTCATCAAGGATTTGGTAAAGTCGCAGAATACAAAATTAATATACAGAAATCTACTGCATTTCTATATATTAACAAACTATCAGAAAGAAAAATTAAATAATAAATTAAGCACATTTATAATCACATCAAAAAGAATAAAATATCTAGGAATAAACCTAAGGAAGTAAGAGATCTAGACTCAGAAAACTATCAGGAACTGATGAAAGAAATCAAAGACAACACAGATAGATATATTGTGTTCATGGACTGGAGGAAGTAATATTGTTAAAATGGCCATGCTACCCAAGGCAACCTGCAGATTCAATGCAATCCCTATCAAAATACCAGGGGCATTTTTCACAGAAGTAGAATAATTCTAATATTTGGATGGAAACATAAAAAAAACCCAAATAGCCAAAATAATCTTGAGAAAGAAGAACAGAGCTGGAGGTATCACGCTCTCTGATTTCAAACTATATTACTAAGCTACATTAATCAAAACAGGACGGTACTGTCACAAAAACAGACACAAACATTAATGGAACAAAATAAAGAGCCCAGAAATGAACCCATACTTACATGAGCAATTAATCTACAACAAAGGAGGCAAGAATATACAATGGGGAAAAGACAGCCTCTTCAATAAATGATGTTGGGGAAACTGAACAGCTACATGCAAAAGAATCAAGCTGGACTACTCTCTCACACCATGCAGAAAAATACATTCAAAATGGATTAATGACTTAAACGTAAGACCTGAAACCATAAAACTTCTTAAAGAACACCTAAGTCGTAAGCTCTTTGACATCAGTCTTAGTAATATTTTTTTGGATATGTCTCCTCAGGCAAAGAAAACAAAAGTAAAAATTAACAAATGGGACTACATCAAACTTAAAAACTTTTGCACAGCAATAGAAATGATTAATAAAATGAAAAGGCTGCCTACTGAATGGGAGAAGCTATTTCCAAATCATGTATCTGATAAAGGGTTAATATCAAAAATATAAAAAGAACCCATACAATTCAACATTAAAAAACAAACAACCTGATTGAAAAATGTGCAGAGGATCTCAACAGACGTTTTTCCAAAGAATATATAGCCAACAGGCAAATGAAAAGATGCTCAACATCACTAATCATCAGGGAAATGCAAATCAAAACCCCATTGAGATATCACCTCACACCTGTCAGAATAGCTATTATCAACAAGACAACAAATAACAAGTGTTGGTGAGGATGTGGAAAAAAGGGGAACCCTTGTGCACTATTGGTGGGAATGTGAATCGGTGCAGCCACTATGGAAAACAGTATTGAGAGTTCTCAAAAAATTAAAAATAAAATTACCAAAGTTCCAGCAATGCCACTCCTGGGTATTTATATGAAGAAAACAAAAACACTAATTAGAAAAACTAGATGCACCTCTACATTTATTGCAACATTATTTACAATAGCCAAGATATGGAAGCAACCTAAGTGCCCATCAATAGATGAATGGATAAAGAAGATGTGGGGGGGGGGTGTATACATACATACATACACACACACACACACAAAATGCAATATTACTCAGCCATAAAAAAGAATGAAATCTTTCCATTTGCAACAACATGGATGGACCTATAAGGTATTATGCTAAGTGAAATGAGTCAGAGAGAGAAAGACAAATACCGTATGATTTCACTTACATGTGAAACCTAAAAAACAAATGAACAAACATAACAAAATCAAAACAGTTATATATAGAGAGAACAAATAGGTGGTTGCGAGAGAGGTGGGAGGTGGAATGAAATAGGTGAGGGGGATTAAAAGGTACAAATTTCCAGTTGCAAAATAAATGAATCACAGGTATAACATGTACAGTGTGTGGAATATAGTCAGTAACTATGTAATAGCTTTGTAGGCTGATAAACTTTAACTAGATGTTGTGTAATAGGAAATAACAGTGTTGTGGGTCAATTATACTTCAAAAACTAACTCACAGAAAAAGAGATCAGGACCTAGAGACTATCATACAGAGTGAAGTAAGTCAGAAAGAGAAAAACAAATACCATATGCTAACACACATATATGGAATCAAAAAAAAAAAAACAATGGCTCTGAAGAACCTAGGGTCAGGACAGGAATAAAGACGCAGATGTAGAGGACATGGGGAGGGGGAAGGATAAGCTGGGATGAAGTGAGAGAGTGGCACGGACATATACACACTACCAAATGTAAAATAGCTAGCTAGTGGGAAGCAGCCACATAGCACAGGGAGATCAGCTCTGTGTTCTGTGACCACCTAGAGGGGTGGGATAGGGAGGGTGGGAGGGAGGGAGACACAAGAGGGAAGAGATATGGGGATTATGTATACATATAGCTAATTCACTTTGTTATACAGCAGAAACTAACACACCATTGTAAAGCAATTATACTCCAATAAAGATGTTAAATAAATATATAAATAAATAAATACATAAATAAGTATAAAAAGAAAAAGAGATCAAATTTGCGGTTAACAGAGCTAGGGGTGGAGGGAGGGGGAGTTGGATGAAGGCAGACGAAAGGTACAAACTTCCAGTTATGAGATAAATAAGTACAAGGGATATAACATACAACATGATAAACATAATTAACACTGTTTTACGTTGCGTATGAAAGTTAAGAGTTGTTAAAAAGTTGTTAAATCCTAAGAGTTCTCATCACAAGGAAAAAAATTTTTTTCTATTTAATATCTATATGAGATAATGGATGTTCACTAAACTTATCATAATAATCATTTCATGATGTAAGCCAAATCATTATGCTCCACACCTTAAACTTACATAGAGTGCTATACATCAATTATATCTCAAACTGGAAGAAAAAAAGTACTGTCATAATATTATTTAACATGAAAAACAATGGTGAAGAACTAGAATGAAGACTATAAAATTTACGATGCTAAAAATAGTTGATGTTCTACTGCCATAAACTTCTTCAAAACTTAAGCACAACCACTTTTATGTATATAAAGTATGACTATATGAAGTTACGTGTGACACTTTTCAACTTACTTTTTTTAAACGTAAACTTTTCAATTTACATTTTTTAAAATTTAGGAAAAAAATCGATAGGTGGAGACCCTATATTGTTTACAAGTTTGCTTCCAAGGCTCCGGAATGCACTACTCAACTGAGGCTGCAGTTGAACGGGTGACAGAAAGAGCAACACACTCAATACGTTCACCAATAAAAGAAACTTTCAAGAGTATGATGCATAGCCTTTATGTTGATAAAAATCCAACTACCCATTGCTGAGCAAGTCCTTCAATTAGAAGTACACCAAGCTTCCATGGAATATTCGCAGGCCAAGTGATGTAGGCACCACACAGCGTGCACACGTGATACCTGCACTCTTCCTAGTTGAGGGAGTTCTCCCAGTTCCGCTATCACCTCCCCTGGGACCTGGACTTGGCTTACTCTGCATAAGGGATTTCCCTTAGGCAAGCTCTCTCAGTTCATCCTGCCATGTGTCTCTTATCTCAAGCCACCTCTACACCAAACGTGAATTATTAAAACGCACTTGTTCATTGATACACTTTATTTCTTGGCAAACAAGTAATCTACATCCTTGCTACTCAAGAACGGTTCCTCCTCCAGCCGCAGGTAGGCGCTTATAAGAAATAAAGAATACCAAGCTGCATCACAGATCTACTGAATCAGAATTTTTATATTTAAACAGGAGCCCCAAGGGATTCCTAGGCACACTGAAGTTTAAGAACTGCTCTACAGGACTCTACTGCAGATAGCTGTAAAAATTAAAAATGCTCGTTTACAACTGAATTTAGAGATAAGATGTGAAAACTACCAAGACGTAGAATCAGAAAAGCTCCTTAAGAGTATTAACCAACACATAAATGAATTTATCACTGATATCAAAGGTGCTCAAAGGTTTACTTTCAACAGTGTAACAGCGCACGCTCATAATATATAGGGACTACATAATCATATATTGGGGCTATATTTTGTGGTACAAAGAATACAAAAGAATGACTGGGTCTAGAAATTTCAGCGCAATCCGGCCCAAAGGTGTGCAACCTGCATTCTAAAATTTGGGGAGTCAGAATTCGATGGTGACAAGTGAAACTCTTTCCGGATAATTATTCAGAAAAAAATCTAAAAGATGTGAATTTTAAACATAAATCATATCCTGGAAATAAAACTACTTAACAGCTACTGAACAAACTCTAGGTCACTTGTAGAATCAGGAAATTGTTTTGGAGGTTGGTGCTCCTTTTTCCAGGAAACGGCGGGGGGGGGGGGGGGGGGGAGGCGGTGAGCCCTTAAAAAAAAAAAAATCAACGTTCATCCTCTGCAAAGTTTTCTCATATCCTGAAAGGCCTCAACTTGCATGTTCCTATAGGTGAAAAAACTCAAGTCGTACTCAAACAAGATCACGTTTCCATCTTGAAAACTGAAAGGCTTTTTTCTCTTCTCAAGGCTGCACTTTAAAACATTTGGGGATTCCGGGTCCTTTGGCTTCCGGCCCGCAAAGGAAGCGTGCTGCCCGGGGCTGAAAGGAACAGGGAAATCTACCAAGTAGGAAGTGGAGCCCGGGTCCGGCCACCAGGCTCTGCCTTCTCGCTGCAGGGGGCCCTGCGGCCGGGACCCCAAAGGGCAGGCAGGCAGCAGGCTGGGGAACAGCTCCCCGGCCCCGCCGCCCCGGAGCGAAAGAGCCTACTCTCCCGCCACCCAGCCCCGGCCCGCCCGGGATGCGCACACGCGGAGAGCGCTGCGAGTCCCCGTCCGCGGCGGCGGCGGCACCACAGGCCTGCCAGGGAGGCGGCGGCGGAGCAAGGGGAGGCGGGACTCGTCCTGAGAGGCTGAGGGGAGACCGGGGCGGGAGCGTCTGCATGTGGGGACTGCACTGGAGGAAGGCGGAGGCGCTCAGGGGGCCCGGGCTGCTTTACGATTATCATCATTATTTTGTTTTACCTGTGGCGCAGAAGGGCTCCCCAGCTCCTACTCCCTGAATCCTCCTCCTCCTACCCTCCTCTTTCTCTCTCCCTCAGTCTCTGCTGGGCGCTCGTGGTGCCGGCCAGGCCGGACCCGACCAGAGAGAGAACAGGCCAGGAGGGGCTGGCGGCGGCGGTGACCAGCGGCCACGTGACCACGCCCGCGCCGTAACGGCGGCCGCCTCCTGCCTCGCGCCCTCCCCGCGCTCCACCTCTAATAACCCCGCGGCTCGCGCGCCCAGGACGCTGGTGCGCAGGCGCCCGCCGGGGCCCGGAGACTGCGCGGGCGCGACGCGCTTGCTCTCGGGGCCGGGCCTGTGGGGCCCCGCGAGGCGCGAGGCGGAGGGGGAGCCGCGGGCCGAGCCCTCCTCCGCTGCCGCTAGAGCGCCTGCGCAGGCCTTTTTTTTTTTTTTTTTTTTTTTTTTTTTTTCCCCCCCCCACTTTCCATTCCTTCCCCTTTCCCTCTCTCCCCTCCACACCCGCTCTCCGCCAGCGCGCAGCTGGAGGCTGGGACTCTGCCCGGGACTTAGACCCTCACACTCACCACCACTACCTTCCCAGAGTGAGACCTTCTGAGGGGCTGGCCCTCCTGCCTAAGAATTTACATTTCCTTGTTGCAGCTGAGTGGACTCCTATTCCTGCTTCAAGACCCAACCAATATGTCACTTCCGCTGTGAAACGTACCCCACTCTAGTTTGTGGGAGTCACTAGCATTTTGTGCATACCTACTTAAGTATAATTCGTGGAGAAATAATACATAACAGTTATTTTTTACAAACCACAGTACTAGGCTTGTATTTTATGTTACCTCATAACCTAGGGCAGTATGTCTTTAGCATTATGGTATCTCGGCAAAGGTCGGATGACTGACTGACTATCCGAATGCAGATCTGCCTAAATGCTGTGCCTTGGCCTCCACCTCTGCTTAATCATGATTTAAACAGCGCGGTGCCGCTTTCGCTTGTTTCGCCAATATGAAAGCCTTTGAATGAATGGTAATGCTAATTAGAGTGGTAAATGCTTCACCTAGTTAAAAAGATTTATGGTCTTTTGTTAACCTGTCTTCACAAAGAGCCCAACGGAAATTGATACTGTTGAGTCCAGAAAAAGGAAACGAAGGCCGAGAAAGGTCAAATTTCCAAAGGTTAGCTAGTTTCAGAGGAAGGTCCCTGCGTGGGACACCTTTGTTCACAAACAAACCCTCCCCTGCACGGGAGGATTCCCTCACTTTCTGCGGGCCCTTTTTGTTGCAGAAGCAGGACAGGTTAAGTGAGTGCCTCGTGCCAGATTTAATCGGGAAAAACTAATTAAAATGTAAAAACGTACTAACTGGTAGCTCTGGCTAGACCAGTCATCATTACTGTTAAACTAGTGAATATTGAGATGAAGATGTTCAAGAAATAGAACTAGCAACAGAAACCCAGGAAAATGTTGGGATAAATGTTGATCAAGAAACAGTGTTAACAAGGGCTTCTGAGAAAAAGGAAAATCACAACCCAGCTCTCGTGTGTTTGCATTGTTGGTGGGCTCTTTTCTGCACTTACCAATGGATACACCCATGGATTGATTCCACCCAATAATTTCAGCTACCACCTCAGGTATGCTAGTAGCATTCCACTCTAAGTATCTAGTCCAAGGTTCAGAATCTGTGGGACGCCATTATTTTGGTGGCCCACGATGAACCATGCCTCCACAGAAGTCATGCTCTTGTGTAATCTCTCCCCTTGAATCTGGGCTGGACCTGTCACGGCTTTAAACAATAGAATATGGCACACGCACACACACACAAATCTGTGCCAATTCCAGGCCTAGGCCTTAAAGAAAGGCTTTGCAGTGACTACACTGAAATTTACCAGAGCCCGTACTCATGGAAAGTGAAGACTATTAAGAAATCCCCGCACCAGTTTGTGTTCTGGGAAATGGCTTACAGAAAAGAACAGTCCTTACACATAAGACTTTGGTAAGACTCTTTCTGCCCCTTGGGTCCACCATTGTGTTTATGCTGAGGCCACACTCCCTGCTGGGCTGCTCCCCAGCTGACAGAGCACAGCAGGGCTACTAACACAGGATTCCTCTAATGGGCAGCTTTGGCTCAAGGATTCCCCACAGGCCTGGTCAAAACTTTCTTAGAACTGCCTGCAGTCTTGGGACTTTCTTAGTTAATCTTCCTTCCTTCCTTCCCTCTTAGCTTTTACAGGTGTCAGACCTGCATCGTGGTCTGAAGTCTCTCTCCCAAGTTCCTGCTCTCTTCCTTTTATCCTTCACTGCTATTCTCTCAATTAAACTTCTGTATATCCAATCCCATCTTGGTGTCTGCCTCCCTGAGGACCTGAACTCAAACCCACCCCCATTCTAGGATTTTACCTGGCCCACCCTCAGGCTAGAGCTACAGGTCACAATTATGAGTCATATCAAGAAATCCAACTTCTCTCATTCTTCTCTGTTTTACATTTTCAAAACCTTTTCATCACTCAGACCCATCCATTAAAATGCAGCTAACCCCCGGTAGAGATAACAACACGATTAAAGCCTTTCACTATTAAGAAAATAAGAAAGATTAAGAGTTATTTTGACTACAAAGATAATTAACATTGTAATAAAGGCTGTTAGGCTAATAATAAGAATTACTAAAAGTATTGTAGGATGACATGGGCCATTTGGGTCTCCCCCTCCCCAGCCTGTGTTCCTGTAGCAGATACTGTCGCGGCTGTTTTTGTAGATCATAATAAGAGCTATCTCCCACCAACCCTCAATCACCTCTCCCTTTTCCCCACCTCCAACCCCCATCAAGAACCTGAAACCAACAAGGCCAATCAGCTTCTCTTTCAGAGAGAATTGAAAATTGGGATTAAAAGGTAACTAGTTAGTCTTTGTATGTAGCTAGAACTGTAACAACCCAATGGAGTAGGCCATTTCATCAGTTACGTCTTATCAGGACACTAGAAACCATTTCAGTTATTTACACGCAGAGAATCTAATACAGGGAATGAGTTACACGGGTGAGGAAAGAACTGAGAACGAAACAAGCCATGGGGAGGTTACCCAGAGATTGGCAGCAGCAGGGGGAACTGTACTACCCCTTAGCTGAGGAGACACAGGAAGACGTCATGTTACTAGGGCCCTAGGGCTGCGGTCATCCGATGGAATCTACACCGCGGTAATACAGAGCCTGTGTAGTTGTACTCAGAGAGAACTACTTAAGGCAGCTTTCCTCATAAGGCACTTATGAGGTGTCCCCCTACCCCGCTGACAGCCACAAGGAGTGAGACAGGGACCCTTCCTAAAGAAGGCTCCTGGCTATTTGTCAGATGGGAAAAGGGATGCTTGGCAGACAGAACAATTCATGTTCACTGCATTCCTTCCATTAGTTGCTCAATACAACCTTCTTACACATAATTTCAAAATGTTCTCACCTAATGTAAAGCAACTATCCATTTACTAACCCTGTTGTCAAAGCATCAGTATTATTAGCAGGCACAAAACCAATTGGTCAGTGTTATTAGACTTCAGTGATATTAGGTTTAAAGTCATTTTAACTCACATCTAAATCATGTATATTACTCTGCAGAGAGCCTACCCGCCCCCCAAAACAATGCCGAAACCAGAAATTGATTTGTTTGTAGTGTCTGCATATCGATATGTCATAGACGGCTAGCTCCTCTTCCCTGCCAAATTTATTTTCCTCTTCTGTCACTGGAATTGAGGCTTAGCCAGCCTCGTGGCCACCTGTCTAGAGACTACATTTCCCATGCTGCCTTGTGGCTGGGTTTGGCCACGTGACTTTGTTTTCCTCATGGAGTGCAAGCGGGGACAATGGGTACATTTCCCACGTTCCTTGCCTAAAAGAAAAGTGCTGGCCCTATACTGCCTCTTCTGCATGCATGCCACGTGGCACACGGACGTGGTGTGACCCAGCCTTCAAGACGTGGTGTGAAGAAGGTGACCCAGCCTTCAAGGTGCGCAGCAGTAAGATGGAAGGAAACTGCGTCCCTGGCTTGCTTCACGCAGAGCTGTCTCCCCAGCCTTTACTGCCCCACTACAGCTTTAAATTAGAGGGAAAGAAAGTTCTACCTTATTGAAGCCACTGAACGTTTAAAATCTCTTTCTGAAAGCTGCATACCTGATACCCTACCCACTACAATATGTAAGGTATTATATTCTGTTAACTAAGTTGTTATGTGAAGAATCTCAGGAAAGACTGTCTAGATACATTTTTAAAACACAAATACGTCACTCACCCTCGGAGGAAATGACGTCAACATTTATGGATCGATGAAGAACATCAGCTACTTTGAGACTGCAAAACCCACGTTTGCACCATTAAGCTTTTTATTATCACCAGAGCACCTATGCTCAAAGTTGCCCTTAAAAATCTCGGAGCATTCAGAGGCATTGGGAAGCAGTATAGAATGGAGGTTAAGTGCATAGGACCAGAGTAGAATAGCTCAAGTCCAAACCCAGTTCCCCTTACTTGGTAATGATGTAATCTCAACCAAGTTACTAAAACTACTCAACCTCTGTGGCTTCAGTTCCATCTGTGGGATAAGGATAATGACAGTCTCTAATTTATCAGGTTGTTGTGAGCATTAATTGAGATAACCCACTATTAAGCAAGATATTTAGCACATGGTAACCATTCAATTTAAAAAATAGATATTATGTTTTTATTTTATTATTTTAAATCTTGGAGTCTCGATCAGAAAGATACATCTGCAGTCTGTAGGAAGAGCAAATTATTCTAGATAAAGCCATAATGATTGGGATTCATTGTTTGCATGCACAAAATAGCAAATTCTGGACTTCGGACATCAAAAATCAAAGGTATTTTTGTTGTACTGACCCAACATCTACGATGTATCCACTAATATGCCTAAATGGCACAGCCCTAAAAGTAACATCTTAACTTTGTTACTTTGAAAGCACCATGTCTAAAAACATTATCCTATAAGGAAAAAGAACTTACAGGAGGTAGACAATCAGTGTTAATTTTCAGTCGTTTTGTGGAAAGATGTTGGAGCCATGATCACAATCATGTAAAGCCATTTCTTTGAAGCTTTTGTTCTAGGTGATAGCAATGATTTCCATTGGATTACTTACTCTTGGTCAGGTACGTACAGATGGTTCCATGGTAAACACCTCTCAACATGATTTTATGATGTCTGTGTTCCATATGAGACCCTTTCATTTTTTTCCTGGCGC